GACTAACGTTGGAGACGATCGGTTTTCTCGGCGGAGAATTGACGCGTTTGGGTGCTCCTAAAATAATGAGCCAGACAAAAAGGTGCATTATTAAACTCGCAATTTAGGTAAATTCTTTTAATAAATATCGTATTATGAATATTTTGCTGAGCACGTAGACTATAATCTTTATGTATGGCTATTCGACTGAAGCCAGTACAAATCACAAAGTATTAATCACCTTTTCAAGAACGAGCTGAATCCCGTAGTAATAAAAATCCCCAAATAATTAGAAGAAAATATGACGAAAGGTAATTTCTCTTAGTGTACGTTGACGATTACACCTGACAATTCCCTTTAAATTTATTAGTCCCTGATTGGAAAATCTCACAGGTGAGCGTACGAATTAGGTAACTCCTTTGATCTCACTCAAGCAATGTAGAAACGGAAGAAACAAGTACCTATTTTAGTAAAGGTGTGCTGGCCTATGGATGCGCGACGTTTGGGTACGTACTATGGAAGCATTTGTATCCGCGCACTTTAAAAACCCACCTTTTCCAGCATAATTCTACTCGTACTCCTTTAAGCACTTGATGTTTTGCACAAACAAGCTTTCCCTACATTTAAGACTTGTGCTTATCTAGTACGCCTGAGTTTCACTTTTTCGGAGGTTTCCACATTCCTAAAAAGTTATTACTTCTAAGCAACGTAATTTTACTTGATTACTCGCAATACGTCTTATTTTGAAAAACGAGCCTTACTTTACTGTTGCAAGATTTTGGGGGATGCAACGTGATCCAGTTTTACGTAAGAGGTATTTCCTTGTAAAATGCTTATATTTCATCAGGTAGGCAATCCACTGTTTATTCCAAACAAACGCGCCCACTCGATAGTTCTAAAAGCTACAAATCCTTCCTCGTAGGCCTTTTCGCAGTAATGGGATTCATCCTGCCTATCCGCCGTATAACCTTTTGAGAAAGGATGACTTGTACGGCCGCGTAAAAAAGACATTGGAATGGGAACGTCGCAACCACTTAAAAAAGGTAGCTTTGCGATTCATTTTCAGGAGGTATAACTATTCCCGTGTCTTATCCCTAACACTAACTCGGTTGAGATTACTTATAAAACTCAACGTACCATAATTTACTAGATGGACATATGCTTGCTTTTCGGCTCGTCCTACTGCACCGTTTGCCCAAATACATCAGAAGCTATTATAAGTTTTAAAAAGGGAAAAAAACCTGCCCCTCATGATTTAAGGTTAATTTCGAAAATTCGGTAAGGCATTGATATATGATTGTCAGTCATCAAATTGCGGTAACTTTCCTATTAATCATACTTCTGTCTACGAACTTACGGTTAGTACTATCACCGTGGATTACTTAATTGCTTCCGATTAGCTTATACTATATTTTTGTTTATTCTTTGTTTCTTTATCGTGCGTTCTCTTATTGCCATACATCAGGTTTTCTAAATAATTGTGTCTAGCATTTGCTACTTCTAAACGCTCTTTTTATTTTTCTTATTTTCCTTCCCCTTGATATGCCTCACCCATATGGGGGTGGTTATTTTCACTCGGGTACAGTTTGCAAGGAACCCTTACCATTAGCTCTATCATAAAAGCAGACAATATCCTCAACAATGACGCTAGCCCTGTGGGAGTCAGCGTGCCCAACGCCAGCACGCTTGCGCCCACGCCCACACACAGAAGGCAAAGCTGATGTACAAGCGGAAAAAGTGACAGTATGAGAAGTTAAAACGATTATCTGCTATCCTGTCTACCTTCTTTCCTAGCACGCAATTGGGGCTATAACCAGTGTCGGCGCAGGCACGCACAAGGTTAGAAACAGTTGGCGGTTGCTGTTTCTGTGTCCTGCTTAGGCAATCATACTAGTTTTTCTTACTCTCTTTCCTGCCACCTGTGTCTATTCTTCCTTCCCTTGCCAATAGCAGTGCCGTGACACATGTTTTTAAGTCACACTGCTTGTCAGACGCGGCGGTCCGCAACTTCCTTCAATCCGTCCAAGCTAGTGCGACTTTGTCCTATATTTTTCTGGCAAATTTCGGCACTCAACTCTCTCCACATTGCCTATTCCTCTCCTGACATGTTCGAAGAATGAACCGGACATGTTGGTATTTTATATTCCGCTGTTTCTGTGTTCCACCTTGAGTTTGTTATTTTCCTTCGGACCGAAGAGTTTAGGGAGAATCAGTTGTAGGACAATTTCAATCCTTGGCCATGCCCTGTTTCATGCATGCCACTCAGACGGGCTGTCCGTATGTTCAATGCTGCGTGTCTTGTCATCAGTGTGACCTTGGCGCGCGCGTGCTTTGCCGACGGCAAGGCGTGACCTCAGAACCCGGACGGCAGCTGTCCTTGCGTCCTCGCGTGTCGGGCCTTTGAAGGTCGCGTTATTGTCCCGTTCTGCCTGCCTTCGCTGGCATGTAAGCTTCCTTCGTTCCTCAAGACAGCTCGAGTGATAACTAGCGTGCTGAGCGGTCCTAGCGTCTACTATACATGTGGCTGATTCCTGAAAATTTACGTTTAGAATTAAGGTGAGGGTGAGGGTTGGGATGATGCTAAGAGGGAAGTTTTAAGTTTCTGTTAACTGTAGGGCTGAGGTTTAGGGTGAGACTGTTGTAGGTTGGTTGTGTCGACAAGAAGGAAGTTCCCGAAATCAAACGCCAGGGGAGACTGAATTGGCAAGACACAGCTATTACTGTGCGAAAAGAGCTTTACAGCAGGTGCTGTCAGACGATCGCAACAACTGTGCCTTTCAGACCAGTTGTGTGAGCGTGTGTGCGTTAGTGACCGATGCTGCGAAGCCTTGACTGCAGAATGTTTGTGCTCTGTCGGCTGCAACCAATCAAATGAGGCGGGACGTATCGACGTGGATCGAACGCGTAGAATGCAGCGCGTCAACAGAGAGCGTGAAGAAGGACTATGGCGCGCGGATTGGATGATAACGCGCGAGCGCAAGCGCGCTGGCGTTGGGCACGCTGACTCTTACAGGGCTACGGTCATTGTTGAGGATATTGTCTGTTTTTATGATATAGCTAATGGTAAGGGTTCCTCGCAAACTGCACCAGAGTAAGATAACTCCCAGCATTGTCTATAGGGGTTATATGCGTGAGGCATGTCAATTGGAAGGAAAATAATCAAACCAAATAGAGCGCATAAATGTAGTAGATAAACGGCCACTGATTAAAAACCGCATGTATGCAAACGATAATTGAAACCCACAACTTAAACAGAGCTTGCCCATAATTTGGCATAAAGCCACGTATGCAATACGTGATATAAATGATGAAATCCAGTAATTTTTACAAGAAACTTTCTTGGTACCCAAAAATAGCATAAGCTAGGTTCCTCCAAGTCCCAAAGAAAACGTGCTTGCAAAAAGAAGACATTTTGAGATCGAACCAAGTAAAAGTGGTTTCTTAGAAAAACAGAAAATTCTGAAAAAGTGAAAAATCCTTCCCGGATGTCTGGACACACAAGATGGACGGAATTATTCCGAGGGGATATCAATGAATGTTGGTATATTTTGAATCAAAAATGAAAAACTTGACTGAACTGTATTATTATATTAAGATATATCTGACCGGTCACAGACCAACTTGGCTGACAAAAGAAGTAAAAGAAGCGATCCGAAAAGACGAAGGCTGTGGAAAATATTTATACAAAGGCAAAACCAAGAAAACCTTCAAGAATTAGACAGCTACGCAAGTAAGTAAGAGACTCGTCAGAGAAGCACGAGCCTCTTATGAACTATGGATCCTGGAATAGGCGCCACAAAAACCCAAAACATTCTCCGCCTGCGTCAGAAGTTCTACAAAGAACCGTGTCCATCTCGCAACCCTAAAAGACAAAAACAACGAAAATTTGGGCAGTGGCCCTCAAAAAGCAGAACTTCTTTCAGAATTTTTTCCACTTTTCCAATAACACGGAGCCACCATTCCAGCCCGACTCTCTGTCGCATGCCATCAACAACTCGATTATAAACACTGTATTATTTACACCAAAGATAGTTTTGGCAGAGTTAAAGAAGTTGGATCCAGCAAAGTCACCTGGACTGGATGAGGTCCCAGGTGTACTTCTACGTGAACTATCTGAGGAATTAGCGGAACCACTCTGTATGATCTTTCGGAAATCGCTCGAAGCTGGTGGACTCCCTAAAACATGGAAGTTGGCAAATGTCATACCCATCCATAAGGGAAGATCATGGCTATATCCTACCAACTACCGACAGGTCAGTTTGACATGCATATGTTGTAAGCTGATGAAAAGGATGATTCAAAAATAAATTTTATCGTTCGATATATTTCGCCACCAAATCAGTCCAGTACAGCATGGTTTCTGGGATAAGAGGCCTTGTTTTACAAACTTTATAACAACGCTAAAACACTGGACAAAAGCCATGGATTAAGGACATCCGGTCAATGTTATCTACTTTGACTTCATCGAGGCGTTTGATCGCGTTCCACATTGGTGTCTTATCTGAAGGCTGTCAGACTTTGGGATAAAAGGGAATCTCTTGAACTGGGTTGAATATTTCCTGGGAGACCGTAGTAAAAATGTTACTGCAGGTGGCTTCTGTTCAGAGTGGGTGCCTGTCGAAGTTAGAATACCATAAGGGTCAAACCTTGGGCATCTCCTTTTTAATATTTACGTCAATGACATCGTGCGAGGCGTTACATCTGACATAGTACTCTTTGCAGATGATCTTGAACTATGGAGGGTGATGAAAGACGAAGGGGACTCCCAAATACTGCAAGATGATATAGACCAGCTACACTCTCGGAGCAACAGTTGCTGTATGAACTTCAACCCCAAAAAATGTGTAATACTGCACACTTTATCAGCAAGACGCCACAGAAATGCACTCTCGCGACAATATATTTTGGTAGACCAATCAATTGAAACCGTGAGTGCGCAAAGATACCTTGGTGTACCTATTAAAGGCGACCTAAGTGTCACAGCACAGGGCTTAAAAGTCGCTGCGAGAGCAAGGTCGGTTATGAGCGCCATACGAAGAACTTTTGTTAACCTGAATATAGATATCTTCGGAAAGATATATCAAACATTCGTGCGGCCGCATCCGGAATATGCTATTCAGGCCTGGCGGCCTTGGCTGCAGAAAGACAAAGGGATTATTGAAGGTGTTCAAAGACGTGCTACCAAGGCGATCCATGAACTTAAGCAATTCACATACGAACGGCGTGTGAGTGCTTTAAATATCTTTTCCCTCCATTAAGGAGAACAACAGAGGTGACCTCATAGCAAAGTTACAGTTACTACGAGAAACCGGTATGGATGTCAAGTTGGAGGATCTCTTTCAAACGGCCCCAAGAAGGAAGCTCAGAAGACACGACTGCCAGTTGAAGGAGAAACTCCTTGCCAGATGCACAGTCACCAAACATGAATGATTAAAAAAGCATACTACTCTCTTTATTTCAATATAAATTTTATTTACACTAAAGATGTCCAGACGAATATTTCATAGTGCATATACAGTAAACGTTTTGTACGCTGCCATTCCGCAAAAGCATCACCTTGACAGCCATTCATGTTACCAAAATATTTTATGCACTCTTGCATAACAAAAGCGATCTTGAACAATTATTGCATGCTTCGTTACACTTTATGCAGTTCGGTATCGTTTGAATGGAGTTTTTAAGGGCTTCGGTAATTCACTCCAAATATACTGACTGATACAAAGTGATGCCAGCGTATCAATATAATGATGCTTTTTGACCATAGACAGCAACACAGCGAAAAGAGATCCGGATATTTCCTTTTTGCCAAATGGTTCAAGCCTGCATGCAGTAGTTTATTTATTTTGCGACAGCTGTTATGTCTGAAAAATGCAAAAAAGCATTTATATTTAAGTACTGACAGATTTTAACAACTACAGATTCTCGTTAAGATGCATCACTTACAAGTCTACGTCACTCTCACATCAACAAATGAACGTATAATACTAAATACAGTGTTTTCATGCGCAGCTAGACAACTATTAACAAATGGTAGTGACCTATAGGAATAAAATCATACCTTATTGCACCCAATCCACGGACACGGAAATTAGGTGACCGATCGCAACGTAAAATTCAAATTAGTTTCTGTCTTGATTTCCTTTGCGTAATGTCCTAGTAAACCAAATTTCTGTGTCCTTTTTCTGCTTCATCAGCTCTCTAATCAGATAAAACGGTATATAAGCATTTTTTGATGAAAGAAATAAATGAAGATGGGAATAATTGAACACTGACTTCCCGATTCTACATCCGATTCTGCTCCTGGTAAAGGCCTATCATTCTGAATCCCGTTGGCTTTTAAACTAATAAAAGACTGTTAAATTCGCAAACGCGTTCTCTGAAAAAGGAACCAACAATTAATGGCCACTGTACAGTACGGAGTACTTCCGATCCCTGAACAGGGCCGCCAGACATCGCCGCAAGGCCTTCAGATGCGATCTGTTCCCTACCGAAGTCCCAGTAACAGCCGACGAGCTGCATTTTCCTCTCGGGTTCATACTCAATGTGTACAAACGTTTGAATCAGGTGGCGCGCCTACTGCGTCTTATACATCGGCCACACAACTTCTACGTCATTCACGTAGAAACAGGAAGAGCCCACTAGAGTTCTACGCGGCTGTGCAGGAGATTGCAAAATGCTTCGGTGCTAATGTTGCTGTGGTGCCTCGAAATGAGAGTGTAGATGTTCACTGGGACGAGTACACGGTTTTGGAGCAGGAACTTGTGGCTGCACGACTGCTCCTACAAATGAGGCAGTGGAGGTATTTCATAAACCTGACTGGACAGGAGTTTGCCCTCAAGACCAACCTAGAATTAGTTCTAGCTCTCCGCATGCTTAATGGCTCCAATGTCGTGGGGGCCACATATAAAAAACGATACGAAAACCGCCTGCTGCAAAGTAGACCATCATTCTCAGTAAGCGGTGACATTTTAAATAAGTCCAATACATTTCGCTCTCAGACATCAATTGAAAGACGTCCTTTGGGAAAATGAGTAAATTTATTCAGTAAATTTTCGACACTGGACCTCCAGGTCGTCGTGAGCTTTGAGACAAATCTGCAAAGAACAGTTAACATTTCGAAGTGCTGATACAGTTATGTAGTCATCTAGTATGGGCGCTAATTGGTAGTTGCAGTTTGCGTCACATCATGGTGGACATAATTTGCAGCCGCAATGGCGTAATGGCTAATTGGTAACTGTAATTTGATTAGGTCCGGGGTCAGTCAAGGTCATTCGGTGTGGGCGCTAGTTACGGCTCAAGTTGGTCCATAGTTCTCGTGTGTAGTCTCTTCCACCCTTCTTTGAGGTGTTTGTAAACTCCAGCCAACTCGATGCGCCGGTTGATGCATGAATCATCGGAGTGTATGACCTCAAGAAATTCTCGGCCTTTTTGGAAGGGGAGACGCCGACGATGCGCGTTTTGGCCCATGTAAAGGTATTTCCTGTCTCCAGGCAATGCATACCACTTCGGACAAATGGTCACGTCTCTTCACTGCCAATTGGTGCTCGTGGATGCGTGTGGAGACGGATCTTCCTGTGTGGCCACAAAATACCCTGTCAAAAGCTTCACGTTTGATTTTGTAGATGGCTTCTTTCTTATCGAGTTAGCCAACCCTATCCTTAGGGTGTACTAGGTGATTGCGTTAAGTAGTTATCGGTTTATGCGCCACTTTACTTTGGTGTTACCGCAAGCGTCTTTCAACGAGTTCATACACGTTCCTTATATAAAAAAGGACTCGCCGTGTGTTTGTTTTGGGCGCCTGAGTGGAACTATTAGGTTCCTTTTTGTTGGATTGTTGTTGTCATATGCACACAACGTCTCTGGGGTGAGCATTGCCGGAAAAGAATTCAAACAGATAATTGAGCTCGTTTCGGTAGGTTTCTTCGTGAGAGCAGTGTGTCTTCGCTCGGCGTAGCAGACTGTTGACGAAACTCATTTTGTGAGAGATGGGGTTGTTGCTATCGTAGTTAAGGCATTTGATACTCAAAGATAGGTACCCTTACGAGGCGTGTTTGCCCCTCAACACATGGAACTCATGGGCACCCAGTCACTTATAAGATGCAGTGGTCGCAACTTCTTCTATAAGGTCTGTGTTACGCAGTGCGTCCATACTAAATCTAATGCACTTTGACAACAACTTCAGATAGACACGTTGGTAGGTTGTTTAGTACCGTAAGCAGAACAATTTGTGAAGATTCTGTGTGAAAAACCTGAAATCTGAATCTTACTCCAACCAGTGAGCATTTACAGTACGGCCTAGAAGTCGTGTAAACTGCCATGTGCGAAAAATTGATACTCTTTCGCTAATCGGCATTGAGTAAGGTTTTAATACTGATTATCGTATAATCTATTCCCAAGCCATTTCAGTCAGGATAGGATGTCAGCATTTAAACGAGCTTCTTTCTAACCGCTAAGAAGATATATGGCTACTTAAGCAGTATGCCTTTTTGTCGTTGATTTTGGCCGCCTTTATAAATTCAACTATTTTTCATGGAAAGCATAAACCAAAACATTGTTTCTTGTACTTGTTTGGTAGAAAATTACGCCTTCTTTAAACTGTATAAGCAAATAAAGGGCAGATTTCGGTTTTAAAAATTTTTTGAACTACCGAATAATTATGAAACCAACTGATTTCTACGCTTGATTTCAAGGTTTACAAACTGCACGCCATGTACATTCTGCTAAATGAAATGTGGGGTTTTGCCTACGTTCTTACGAAGAAGCCGCACAGTTCTCATTAAAATTTACAAAAGTTGCGGAAAATGCTGTATGCATTATGTGCAGCAGAAATACAGTGACGGATATGATGTATGATGAATGAACACCTCAGAATCGTAAAAAAACTCATAATTAGAAACCCTTATAAACTGAAAGAAATGCCTTTTCTAAGTAAAAAAAATTAAAGAAGACGTAATTTTCTGCCAAATGAGTACATAAAAGATTTGTTCGTGGATGTTTTTCATAAAATATATTTGAATTTACAAACGCAGTCAAAATCAATATTAAAAATATATACTACTTGAGTAGCCACTTTTTAAAACATATACATTTTGTAAGCTGTCGGGAGGAAGCCCGTTGAAAAGTGGGTATTCTATTATGACTAAGAAGACTTAAGAATATACTACACGATAATTAGTGTTAATCTTTCGCATTTGTCGGCATGACATACGAATTCTAGGCCATACAGTAATACTGGCTAAAACCATAATTTACAGTTAAACTTCGATTCAGAAAGTAATGTATTATTCGTCACTTTCGGAGAAAAGAACAAATTCAACGCGTGTAGCATTGGTCGTGATACTGGCCAAGGTTACTTCATAGCTTTAGGTTGAGTAGGGGTTTTCTTGGTAACACACAGCGACTTTTGCCACGTATCGACGTCTAAGAAACTCAGCCAGCAACTTACTTGCTATGAGTGGGTAGGAACTCCATATTTACCACTATGGAGCAGATCCCTTCAAGATGTAGCTCCAAGAATATCAGACTCCTTTAGTACGGCCTTTTTTACTGGGGCCCAGTAACAGTCTTTCTAATCGTTACCATTCCCTGAAGACACTCGAGTAACGAATCCGTC